TTTGTGCATATGCTTTTGTTCTTGCTTAATAGGCTCAGTGTATTTAAAACTGATGAATTTTTATTCATGGATTTGGATGTCTGGGGATTAACTTAGACTGAATATCATTGCACTCATCTATTGATGTTTGGAACTTTTTAAATATTTGTATCTGTAAGTGCAGGAGAACTTACAGAACTCATGTTTTATAAATAAAATGGCTCAGAAACAACATAAACTTTTACAGCAAAAAATTTATATAAATAAACATAATAATAATAATATAGTAATAAATATAATAAAAAGTGCTGATTAATGTCCTTTTTTTTTTTCACTGCACAAACTCCCATGCAGTATAGTTTGCATTATGAAGAGTAAGTGATTGATGCCATACATGTCTGTGTATTTAGAATTTCTTAATTAAAAGGCAGTCTGGGAAAACCATCAAGTAACTTTCAGGATTATATCAGTGACAAGCACTCAATTTGGTTTTCTTCTCTTCAGGTAACTTGAAAATAAAAATAAATCTTTTTTTTTTTTTTTTGAATATGTGTTTTCTTTCTCCTGTTTTCTGTAGCTTTTTTATGCACAGTTCGCATACTTCACTGGAAGGTGTTGCTTGTAACTGGGAAGTACTGATGAAGAAATACACTAAGATTATTTATTACGCTTTTATGCTAAAATTGGTCTTTTTTTTTGCTTTTGCATTTCTCAACTGTTTAACAATACCTTCTCTGATTCAGTATTTGTGTTAAGATCTCATACTGCGTGATTTCTGTGCTAGTAAACCACCACGGAGTACTCTTCAGTGATAACATTCTAATCTGGAACCAACAGTGGGGCTACGAGGAAGACACATGTATCTCTTCCTAAATGCTTTTGTCGATGGTGTATGTAAATAGATGGCTTTGTTTTGCATGAAGGGCTTTTTGTTGCTGCTGCTTGTAATGATAGATATTTTAAGTAAACATCCTCTGAATTTCTTAGTGCATAGGGAAATAATTTGCTGCTCTTCCACTCACTGCTTCGGATAGAGATGCCTGCATCCTTGTGGAAGCTGTCAGCACTGGGAAGTGCACGCAGCACGTGAGCCATGGAGAGCTTTGGTTTCTGTAGGGTCATGGATCTTGAGTACCTGGTGCGAATACGGGACTCGGAACGCTTTGTTGTAGTTAATTAGCATGCATTTTATGTCTTTATGTCTGTTGATATTTCAAGAAGGTAAATTTTTTTGAAATTGGAGGTAAGTGAATGTGGCACAGAACAGAGTTGTTTGACTCTCAGGACATGGACACGGTGTATTTTTCTCATTCACCAGCAAAGGGACTGTGCTGTCTGTCAGAGCTTTGGCACCTGTGTCCTAACCCTGATGTAGTTACAGGAGAAAGTTAAGTGAGTATTTCAGCATTCCTCAGAGGCTCAGATTTGCCAGGTATGGCCACACTCTTGTTCTGTTTGGATTTTGCTCTTCAGCAAAGATGGGCACAGAGAGTTGCAGAGAAAAACAGAAGTCCTGGAACATATCTGACCACTGACGCAGCATTTTGTGCAGGGTTGCTGAGGTTCCTCCCCAAGGCAAAGAGAATCAGTGAGAACTGCCTGCAGTCTATTGTGAAAAATTGCTCATTCTCACGTAGGTAGTCTGTAGTTGTTGAGCACGAGAGGATTGCATTATGTGAACTTATGCTTACAGACCACGTTATTTATCAGCTTGAGATCAGTAGATGAAGGAGTGTTTGTTGGAGACAAAGAGTCAGTGCCTAGTGGAGGTGATGTGGAAGAAGAATCTCCTCATCCAGAATGTTACACAAGGATTTTCAGATTTGCCAGACTGAATCCAGAGCAACTTCTACAGCAAAACAACAGCCGAAAATACAAGTCAGGTTCTGCTTGCCCCCTGCATGGAAAGATTATTTAAAATGGTGTCTTGTTCTGCTTTAGATGTTTGAAAACCTCCGACAGGTTAAACTATTTTATATTTATTACATTGCATATCTGATACAGGAAGAATCTTTCCCAATGAACACCTTTCACGTTCCTAGCACATTTTGGATTAATTTCATACCAAAGTTTTAAAGATAGCTGTATTAAATGTCAGCTCCAGTGTAAGCCTTTAAATGGCCTCGCCAGCGTGCGTTCTCTCTGCTCTTTCTGCTTTGGGTTTTGTGGACTTTTAAAAAAAAATAAATAGTGATCTCGGAGTATCGTTTGGGGAAAAACACAGTGTGAGTTCTGGGGTTGTGTTTTATGAAGAAAGATGTCTGGTTAAGAGGAGAGAATGCAGTCACAGAGATTCTGTTAGCTGAGGGAAGATCGATCAACTATCACTAAGTGTTCTGTGAAAATTCAGAACTTACTATTGCATAAATCAAAGGTGACTGGAAGTTTTTTCTTACAGTGAAAAAAATCCACTTGATAACAAGCCCAATAATTTATTTAGCCACATTTTCATTGGCTATGACTTTGGCTTTCTTGTATTGAAAGTTTTGGCACTAGATGCTAACCTGTGCCACCGGTTATCTGGAAATGACCAATCTGCTCATCGACTTCCTAATTTTATTATGTACACAGTTAGTTGTAATCCAGGATCGCAGCAAACAAGATGTTAATTTCTAGAGAATCTACCCGCATTTCACTCGGAGCGTGATTGTTACCAAAGCAAAGAATACAAAGAGAATAACATTTGTGCTATCCTCACAGGAGCTGTCAATAAAAGATGTAATAGGGGATTTAGGAATCTGGAAATGGCCAACTAATTTATGTGAATCTATTTTATTTCAGCTAGAAAGACCAAGCTCTGCCTCGTCTGCACTGCATATTGCAGAGCACAGGCTGTCTATAGAGAACCAGGCGGCTGCATATGGATAGTCCCTTGATATCATTCACTTGCTGTGTAATCTTATTATGCAAAGTTCTAATCTTCACCTAGAATGAATGCCTCTGGGTCAGAATATAGTCATATCAGGGTTTTTGAGGTCATGTTTTGTGATCCTTAGCTTATTCTTCTAAGTAGGGCTGGGATTTAAAGAGTATTCCCTAGACGCTAGCAGAGATAGATGGTAAAACCTGCTGCCTTTTTGGAAGACAAGACCAACATGAGGTCCCTGGTAGGATTAAACTTGATTTGTAGCTGTAGGATTTTTTAACAGATGTATTATTGGACAGGGAATAGGGGGCCACCAGCACAGCGAAATTGGATCACGATTGGCATTCTCAGGGAGTCCGCTGGCTGCTAAAACAGCAGCTGCATGTGGATTTGACTTCTTTCAGGTGAAGCGACTTCCAGTCATTTGGAAAGGATGGGATGAAAAGGAACCTTGGTGATAATTTTGATGTCTGCAAGATTTAGTACCAATGTAATGGGATTATCGGTAACACCTTCGCTGCAGAAAAAGCCACCTGGCGCTATAACTGGCAGCAACTGCGAACTAATCCTTTCCCATCTCTTGGATGTCATTCATGAGGCTCCAAGTGATTTCTACCCTGCTAGCTGTGATTAATTTTATAAACAAACAAACAAAAAACCGCAATGACGGAAGCCTAGACCATGTAAGGAGAAGGGAACAGAAGAGAACAGTAATTAGATTTTGCTTTTTATTTGCTGCAGGGGAAAAGCTCTATAGTTATTGTAAAAAAAAAAAACAAGCAAATTGTATTGTGTGATAAATGTGTGTAACTTTTTGTCATCGATTTAAAAAAAATAATAACCTGTTTTCATTAGAAAAATAATGTTTCAGCGTAAGGTTTTCAGCTACCTACTGTGTAAGTAGTAGTTAGTACCTGGAGGTAATTACAGCAGGTTTTATGGCAATAATTCTGTGATAAGGATGTTCATATGGCACATCCGGGAAGTTTTGAAGGGGGCTGTGACTTAAATCATTTGTTTTATTGTCCTTTATGGCCATATTGTGTGGTGGAGGTGCCTGCCGACAGGACTTGGTGGTGAAATGAATTGTGTGATGTGGAAAGCAATTCAGGCATTTAGCATTTAGTTTTCAAACAATGCCATATTGATAGTTTTCTAGAATAGCTGTTGTTTAATGATTGCTTGGAACCTACTGGGTTTTGGTTGTGTTTTTTGTTTTATTTTGTCTGAAGTAATCTTGTTAGTTTCAAACTGTATAATCTGTATTGTATGTGTGCCCTAATTTGAAATTGCACGTCACTTTCCTGAGGAGTGGTAGAAGCTGAGGCTTATTAGGAGCTAAGAATTTGTCTCTACTGCCATAGCCATCTGATAAACCCAGGCGTTTCAGAAAGTCCCTTGTGCCAGCAACTGTATGCCAGGATAGTGAAATCCTTGTCTCTTGGATTAGGACTTTTATTTCATACCGAATGCACACTGCACTGAGTCTTTGAGAGTCCACTAGTTGGAAAGTGGGGAGGGCGGTGCTGGAGATGTCTTCACTCCTTTGCTATCCTCTTGGTTTCCTGCCATGGCAGCTGCAGTCATAGGTAGAGCCCCACTCCGTTGGGTTTCAGTTCACTCCAGCACTCAGATATTTCTCTAATTTGCTGGTGGTTGAAGGAAAGTAGTGGTGTAAGTTGTGCTGTCTTCACGTGATTAATCCCACAATGTGGGGATTGCAGCTCCCCAGCATCCGTTCAGCTCCACAGTCCTGCGGAGGGGAGGATGTTCCCATAGTTGGCAAGTGGCTGCAAATTTGAGTAGAAGTCCATTTGTGTAGCTGAGTCAGCAAACCGTTGTCAACATTCCCTCCCCATTAATTTCTGTAGCCTTGCTATGTGTTTTTTGTTTTGCTCGTGGTTCCTTTGTTTCTTTCAGCTCCCACTCAACTGCATCTTGCTGACTTGCTGGGAGGGGCAGTCGGTTGTACACATGGGAGTGCCTGCATTAGTCAATAAAAGCCCGATAGCGTTTCATCTCTTCTCATGGGCCTGATTGGTTTTAGTTGCTGTTCTTCTAAGAGTACTGAGTTCGTTGTTAGATGCAAAAGATGGCTTTATGAATGCTACACTGCTTGCTGTCAAATGAACGATGTTCTTCTGTTTTACTGTAGACCAGAGCCAGCTGAGCCACGTAGTGCCGTGCCATGTTTCGCAATGCCCTAGGAAAAACCTTTCGATTTCTCGGGTATGCTGTGCAGTATGGCTGCGTAGCACACTGTGCCTTTGAGTACCTTGGAGGAATTGTTGTGGTAACTTTCCATTTTTATGACTTTAAAAGATATAACAACTGTAATACTAAACCTGTTATATTTCAGAATGCTGTTATTTCGGTTTTCTTCATTTTTAAATTTTTTTTTCTAAGTGTGTTCAGTAAAAATAAAATCAAAAAGCTCAGCTTTTTGGACAAGTTAGTGCTTCAGGCATCGCTGAAGCAAATGGGAAGCAACATGAGTAAGCATTTTGCAGAGAGTTCATTCTTTCTGAAAGGCCAGAGTAGCAAAATCCCAACTCTGCAGATTTCCGGACGTTTTATGCTACTCCTCCCTTCCCCAGATATTGCTGCTGGAGATAGTGGGTTTGGCTGAGGGCTCCTACTGCAGCTCTCGTGATGCTTCTCTTCACAGAGGCTGAAAACAAAGGGGTGGTGCTGCTTCCAATCTGTAGAGAAGGTGCTGAGATGTGCACCCAGGAAGCCATTGCACCCAGCACAGTGCAGGACCGGTTCTGAGCTAAAAGAGCTGTAACAGGGAATCTGGAGGCTGTCCTTCCTGCTTAAATATCAAATGTCCCACCTGAGGGTTTAATTGTTCCTTATATTACACCTTTTGTAATTTATTAGCAAATAATTGAAGACATGTGTTTTAGTTAACGGCAGTTGACAAATAGTAATTTTTTCTCATTTATTTTTAATTTTCAGTGTTCTGGACCTTCAATGGAGCCAACAATTCAAAATTCTGATATTGTCTTTTCGGAGAACCTTAGCCGACACTTTTATTCCATTCGGAAGTATGCTCCTTTGTTGAGACTACATTTTACAGTTAGTTTGCCAGAGCTTCTCATTAACCACTTTCTATCCATCCTTTATTTTTCATACATTCTTCAGCATCTGGATTGTATTTTTTCGTACATCTCCTCTCGTGTCTGATGGAAGACAAAGCAATGGGCAAACACTATCCGTCTTCCCAAACTTACTTGTCAGAACTCATTTAGGATGCAGTCATAGAGTCACAGAATAGAATCATTGCAGTTGAAAAAGGCCTCCAAGATCATCTAGCCCAGCTGTCCACCTCCTCCACCTCCTACCAACGATGCCCACTAAACCCTGTTCCTCAGTACCACATCTACGTGTCTTGAACACCTCCAGGGTTGGTGACTCAACCACCTCCCTGGGCAGTGCCACCCACCTCCCGTTCCAGTGCCTTACCACTCAAGTCCATTTCACTTCTCCATCTTTGTCCAAGAAAACAGAAATTCCCTCTTCCCTCCCTTTATTTTCCCTAACGCTTTTTTTGTTTGAATATAACTTCTCCTCCTAAGGAATTTGGACTTACTTTTAAATCAAGCTGTGGGTTTTGCTTTGCCCAGATAGACCATTCAGTAACTTTTCTAGCAGCCTAAGTGCAGTTTATCAAATGTCATTATGTTGTAGAGCGCAGGCCCTTGCCCATTTTGTTGTGGACCATTTCACTGTACAATGTCATGTGTATAACTGGGGCAAAAGATCCTACAAAGTCAGACATCTGGAGTTCTGCTGAAACATTTGTATAATGACGTATAGAAATTTGGAATCCATATGTAAGTAATAACAGGATCAAGTGAATAGGCATTCATTTCATCAGAGCATTTTCAATTAAAATGCAGGCCTAAATGTTTTGTAAACAAATAGCAAAGCCTCCAAATGTGCTTACATTACACCTCAGTGTAATGTGTGTCACTGAGAACACCAAGATGTGACTAGAGTTTTGAGCAGAAAGAGCTGTCTTTTAATGTCTGGGAGTATTTTTGGAGTATGTGCATTGATACACGTCTTCAACCAGACATTCTATACTTAGTGTTCTCATTTCTTTGTGTTTGTCTCTGTTTCTGTTTTTTCCCTCCCAGAGGAGATATTGTAATTGTGAAAAGCCCGACTGACCCCAAATCAAATATCTGTAAAAGAGTAATTGGCTTGGAAGGGGATAAAGTCTGCACAAGCAACCCTTCAGATTTCCTTAAGACTCACAGCTTTGTAAGTATGAGAGTTTCTTGATTTGTAAATTAACGATTACATAAGCAAGCCTTGTAGTCTGTGAAGGATTTACGGTATCTTATTATCATAAATCATACAGTATGATGTTCATGAATTATTCTGTGCATTCAGTAAAATGTAAACCTTGTTTATGGCAAGCTGCCCTTCTCAGTGTCTTTTGCCTCGGTAGGAAGTGTAGGCAGGCCATATGACCTTTGTTTAGGTCTTCTTCCACAAGGAGTACTCTAGAAATCTCTGAATATAGTACAGCACAGATGACAGACTTGGGATTGGCTTTAAGGCAAAAGTGTTTCTACATTTTTAACGATAGGAAGTGAAATTTTGTCTTTGCAATACCTTTGAGGATTTTGCTTTCAAAATTAATGTATCTATATGTTTCACTGTAACAGAATTTAACTTCTGAGTGCAGGTAGAAAAGTACTGCTTTAACTAACTTGCCAAAAAAATTCAGGTAAACAAGATGAAATAGAACAGAAGCAAAAATTCTTAATGCCGACTTGCCCTTATGCAAATAGACTTAAAAGAAGTTTGGAAAGATCTGAGATTAAAGATTTTCAGCAACTTGTTAGGCTATCATTAGTAGAATCATCAGAAATCATAATCACAGAGAAAAATGTAGCTTTTTCCCTAAAGCACATTTGTCTGTTTCCTCTGCTCAGTACCTGGTGGTGGAAATACTGGGTTTTGCACAGCTCCTTGCAGCCAGCTGTGGTTTGTGATGGCTGAATCCTTTACGAGTTTAGCTACCCAAAAGTGCCAGCTTCACCAGCATCCCTTCAGGCACTGTTGCTGTGTGTGTATTGGGCATTTCAGGTAGTTTTTAGTTGAAGTGGAGGCTGTATATACTAAAATCAGCGTCAACACTGTGTATAGATTCAGTGTCTGGGTTTAGTCAAGGCATGGGACCAGAAAACAAACATAGGATTGATACCGTGCTCCAAAGGGCTCAATTTGATATTTCTTTCATTCCAGTGTTGAGGCAGTACTTTTCAGGCGCCTGACTCTAATCTGTCCTGGTAAGCAACAGTACCAGTGTCAGTGACTCATTCTCCATTACATTTTGAAGGGGAGGACTGTTGTTTTTGTTGGTTTTTTTTTTTTTCCCATAAATCCAACTGTTTTAATGTTGAGCAACGAAAAGAAATTAAAAAGCCCCACCCCCTTTCTTACTGAGTTGAAGACATTTTCTGGTTCCTCTGGCAGTAGTAACTCAGGTGAATTTCCCAGAAAGGAAAGACCTGAATGGAAGTCTGCATTCCATGTATGCTGACAGAGACGAGCTGAATTTCTGTGGACATTTTGTTCCCCTCTTGTCTTAGTCCTGAAAAGGAACGCAGGAAAGGCTTGTACTTCACAGGATGCGAGCCTTTCTGGAAACCCTGTGGTAATCAAATGAACATCCAGTGGAGGAATTTCTGCCACAGGTATAACTTTTCTTGTCACAGTTTTCATATGAAGTGTCGGGAGAATGAGCAGATGAGGAACACATCCATTTCCTGTTTTCCTGTGAATGTTTTTCACAAAGTCAACGTGTGCAGGTCCAGGAAAGAAGTGATTGCGCTTTCTGAGTTGTGGCATCATAACTTGTAACTAGGGGAGAGAGGATCCAGATGGAAGTACGTAAGTTTGTTAATGCAGATCTGTTTTCCTCATATCCTTAATGGTTGCCAGACAGGTGAATCTTCCCATCTGTTCAGGAGGCACTTACTTTATGCAAGAGAGTATTTTCAACAGCGATATCTGCACTTTATGTTCATAAATTGCACTGGATTATTCACTTGGCAGTTCTGTTCTTGCTGAGGGAGGAGAAGCAGTACGTATCCATGCTGAGGTAATGGTCGAACCAAAGCCCTATTTCAGCGGAGCAGCAACGCAGCGCGCTTCAAATTCAAGCACCAAATTCTTCAAAGCAAATAGCAGCAGCAGTCGTAGAGAGACCTTGCTGTTTGTTTTGCTGCTCCCTCTTTGAGGAGAGTTAATCTGCGTTGGGTCTGGAGAAAGAGATTGCGGGAGCTCCGAGGAAAGGTTTTGGCTGGGCTCCCGAATGGCCAGCAGCGCCGCCTGTGGTGTCCGGCTGTGGCAGAGATGCGGGCACACTTTGAGAGACCAGAAACTGTCATGAGTTCTGTTGTTTGTAGCGGGCTACTAATTGCTTCTTTTAATGAGAAATCTCTGAGTGATGCTTGAATGTGCTGACTCAAAAATGTTTAAGGTCAGAGGATTGTTTGGTGTTATTATGGTGAACTGCCCAGCCTTTCTCAACTGACTTGTCTCTTGTTTTGGGGAGTGATAGTGAATGGATGTTGTCATGCTTGCAAGCTTATGGCAGCAAAGTAAACACAAAGTATGAGATGCGTGAAGTATTACTGAATTAGGCAGTTCTTACCTCAGCTTTGTCCTGTGCTGGTGTTTGGCACCCAGTAGCTGGGTATGAGGAGTTAGCTGGTTACTGGAGATGCCAGATGAATGGCAGTGTAACAAGTGAAAGCACAGAGCAGCTGCTTGTCTCAGCACTAAGGAGAGTCCTTATGCTCACGTATGATCCTATCAGCAGGAAATTTTCATGCTTAGAAATGCTACAGTAGTTGATTCCCAGGCTTCCTGGTACAGTCAGATCCTGCTTCCACCCACGTTTCATCCATGAGTACACTTCTCAGGATGGCTTCTGTGACAGGTGAATGGAGAACTGTGTATGTTCTCTGTCAAGCAGTTACACAGACAAAATCCTGCCTTGAGAAAGAACTCAAATAGATACCTGTAATTTAAAAACAGCAAACAAACCAAACATAAAAATAAAGCCACAACAAAGCCCACCAAGTAAAACCCACAGAAATAAACAGCAGCAAACAAAACTTCAAAACCATTCCAAACTATCGAAAGAAAGAAAAGTAAAAAGTCCTTTTTCAGTTGTGTAAGTTGTTCTGAAAAGAAGAAACTCAGTAGACTAGAAATGCAGTAGAATATGGCAGTGATGTGAACATCTTTCTGATGGTATAAAAAGATTTCTACTGCCATGGCTAGCCAAAGAAATGTCATATGGGAAAAAATATTGTGGGTCTGCACTAAGTGTAAGGATGCACTGAAAACCTGGCTCTGATGGACTCACTGTTGGACTGCAAAGTGATGGAACTATTCCCAAGCATTGAACCGATTAGTACAAAATAATGGTGTGCTTAAATTAAAATTGAAGTAAAGTAAGAGTGCTGCTTTGGGCCCTGTATGGCACGTGATGTTTCCTTTGTATGTTACAGGTTAGAGCTTAGAGCAGAATAATAATGGGAGAAGTGATGCTATTTACATGAGGAGAAGAGTTAGGTTCTTTTTTTTCCATATGCTCTTAAACACTTCAAAATGTAGGAAAGAGGAATTTTTCTTTTCCTTGCCCCTCTTATTAGGATTTGGTGTGGAATGTGAAGGCTGGCAATTTTTCTGGGTTCTTTCAAGATTTTGTGCATATTGCTGGTGTTCATACATATCAAGTATATTTAATGCAGTAGACTTTTAAGAATGCATAACGTGTTTTTGCTGCATCAGAAGAGATATGGTCGGAACTAAAAGAGTAAACAACTAATTTAATTAATGTGGTATTCAAACCTGATTTCAATTATTTAAAAGTATTTTTGCAGACTTATTCATAAAACGTAAATAACAAGGGTTAGAAATTATTAAATCACAGCAAAACTCTGAAATGGTCCTAAAATTGTTTCGAAAGGCTAATTTTCATATTTGTGTTTTCTATTTCCTGTTTTTAAAAGTCTAACGCAGGCCAAGGTTTATAATTCAGATTGAGTATCTCATTTTATTATTTGAATTTATTTTAATGCCATTTACTTTAGCTTTAATTTCTTTAGTACCATATGTTCTTGTGCTGCGGCTCCTATTTACAGATTGAAAAAGTGAGGGGCAAGTCATCAGATTAAAGCAGCCTGTGTGTCGTAAACCAGCAATATGGTAAGCTTTCGTGTCACTTAAACAGAAGTAGTACCTAATAATGTCACTTAATACAGCTAGGGTCTGTAAATAAGGAACCGCCTTTTGCAAGTCATGGTGATAAAAAGCTGAGATACAAATCCATATCTCAGCAACACTCTGCTAGTAATCAATCTCAACACAGCACTAATGCTGTGAGGCTAGCTGATGTGGGGGAAGTGTGTTTACCTTGTGCTAAAATGAGGTTCATTGCGGAGATGGCATCTCCTCATCCTGTGGTTAACTCTAGAGCTAACATAATTCTGAAGATAATGCATCTTACTGTGTTTGCAGACCAGAGAAGTGGTCTTATGCAGTGCTATTAGCTCTTACACAGTCCTTGTCAAATGCTGGAAGGATACTGTATGGGTTCTGAGAATAGTGTCCTGTTAACAAAAACGACACAGTATGTTAATCTCTGTGCTGTGCTGCAGAAAGTGGCTGGGCAACTGAAGGGGCAGGTTGGTATTTCAGAGTGCTCAGTTCCATTCTCTTTAAAATATAAATAATAAATAAGTATAACAGAAGAGATGCTGTAAATGAAGCAGCCACTGTGCTATCTGTCTGGTGGGAAACTAGAACTGATTTTGCACATTCACTTAGTTTGTGGCTTTGTTGAGTTTGCAGATCCCTCCATATCCCACCATGACTAGAGCTATCTTGAATCATCTGAGTAGTCATTTTAATCAAAAAACTGACTTGCCGAAATGAAAATTCCCCAGAGAAAAGAAAGAATACTATTAATCCTTTCAGCAGTATTTCCAGGCTTTCTTCTGCTTAAGCAGATCAGTCTATTTACCCCCGCAGTTTTGTTTTTGATACCTCAGGAGCATACGAGTGGCCCTTCTGATCTGACACAGCAGTGTAGCTCAGGAAGGGAGCAGCAGCAAGGGCTCAGCGAGTCCCCACCAAGCTCCCTGATGTCTCAAATGTCTCTTTCTTCTTCACAGCCCTGCACCAGGTCAGCTGCTCTGAATGCAGGTGGCCACACCAGGGCAGGAGTATTGCCC